GAACCCTAAAAATTTTCAATTTCCCATTTTTTTGTTGACTTGAAGCCCCTTCGGTTAACATGTTTATGTGCATAACGCAGTATCCTCTTTCCCGCAAATCTTTGCAAAGTTCGACGATTTAAAAAAAATATTCATTTGAAAACACTTCCCCGATTCTGCTTTTCGTCGAATGCGACGTTCTGTGATTTTTTTTCCTCCATCGAGTCTCTGGTTTCGACTATGAAAACAGAACCTGACGAGAAACTATTTTTTTTTATTCAAAGAGACTGAAATTTTAAAGGTGGCGTTTTTTATACGTTTTCGCGTCGATGTTGCTGCTTATGCGGGGTAAATAATGCTGTTGTTCGATTTCTGCTGTACAGTATACGGTGTCATTTTCTGATTGATTCCACGTATTAACTTGAGTACCACCCGCCTTTTCTGAAATTTGAAATTGAAAGAGGGGTGCGCGTCACAGGCGGATATAAAATTTTTTTCAAGTAACGTTAGGTGTGCTTTATAAGTTTATATGATAGTATTGTAATGGGAAATTTTCTATCAAGTTTAACAGAGAATGAAAACGATGGAAAATTAGTTGAATTCGGGCCCAATTCATGTCTGAACACGAATTTTGGTGTTCTTATTTTTGAAATATTGTTTAGGCACGAAAAATGGAATGCGTGTCTTACACAGGGATAAGATTTCACCAAAATTTTCCACTAAAAAACTCTGCTGCGCATGTTACTTGAGGGCGTTTGGTACTCGAGTGAATATGGTAATTCGAAGTCCAAAAGCATAGGTCACGTCTCAGTAAAAAAAAAAAAACGTGAATGACTTGGGAAATCGGGTCATGTTCAACTTGTGTGGTGCAGATGATGAAGGCGCCGTATGCGCAGCTGTGCAGCCTGATGCGAACGAAGTCGTCAAAATCGAATCTGCTGAAGCACGCGTTTCAGATCGACGCTTATGAGACTAATGTGCTCAGTGGCTGGTCGTCGCAAGTCTGTCGCTTATTCTCGCAATTGTTTTCCTATCCTAGATGAAGGACATGAGTCAACAGTTCCTTGTTGAAATAATTGAAAATTTTAGAACGGTGTGCTTCAACCTGTAGTCCGCGGATGAAAACCGTCCAATTTCTTAGGAATATTAACCTTTTTAGTGGCTCGCTGTTGACTTCAGACCCACGAATTGGTCTTCAAACGTGTATATCCAATTGCATTCGTCTGCAATGCGAAATATTTCCCTCGTTGTCAGCGATCCGCGGATTTAGAAAAGGTTGAGGAACACTTACATTATTTAGAACACTCAATCGTCGAGAGATCGCTTTTTAAATAGGTGAATTCATCGAGACCAAACGTATTGGTATCTTGAATTATCGTAATGTAGTTGGTTCCCCTTTCCCTGAAAAGGTAGAACACCCAAATCACTTCTAGTACATCGTTCGAGAAAGGGATTTTTT